GTAGAGACGGGGTTTCACCATGTTGACCAGGATGGTCTCGATCTCTTGACCTCGTGATCCACCCGCCTCGGCCTCCCAAAGTGCTGGGATTACAGGCTTGAGCCACTGCGCCCGGCCAAAGGTTTTTTTTTTTTGAGACTGAGTCTTGCAATCTGTCGCCCAGGCTGGAGTGCAGTGGTGAAATCTCGGCTCACTGCAACCTCCACCTCCTGGGTTCAAACGATTCTCTTGCCTCAGCCTCCTGAGTAGCTAGGACTACAGACGCACGCTGCCATGCCTGGCTAAATTTTTGTATTTTTTTTAGTGGAGACGGGATTTCACCGTGTTGCCCAGGCTGGTTTCCAACTCCTGAGCTTAGGCAGTCCACTCACCTCAGCCTCCCAAAGTGCTGGGATTACAGGCGTGAGCCACCGTGCCCGGCCTCTTTGGTACTTATTTAAGTGCCTGTGTCTGTCTCAACTAGGCTGAAACTGGAACTGTATTCCTTGGACAGGTATTTTAGTAAATGACTGCAGAAGGAGAAATATCCATGAGCCTGGGGTCCATCTAAGTCTCCTTCTGTCCCCAAGTGATGAATGGTGTTTTAAACAGTGTTTACCACATATGGTCTCTGAGGGCCCAGCTACCAAATGCCCAAACTCCCAAATTCTTCCTCTTGTCCCAGAGTCAAAAGTGCCACAGTACGGCTCTTGGAGGAAACTTTTCAAAGCAAGCCACTTTTTTGTGTGTTTTTTTGAGACAGAGTCTCACTGTGTTACCAGGCACCAGGCTGGAGTGCAGTGGCGTGATCTCAGCTCACTGCAACCTCCGCCTCCCGGATTCAAGCAATTCTTCTGCCTCAGCCTCCTGAGTAGCTGGAACTACAGGCGCATGCCACCACGCCCAGTTAATTTTTTGTATTTTTTAGTAGAGATGGGGTTTCACCATGTTGGCTTGGATGGTCTCTATCTCTTGACCTCGTGATCCTCCTGCCTCAGCTTCCCAAAGTGCTGGAAATACAGGCGTGAGCCACCTTGCCCAGCTGCAAGCCAGTTTTTATGAGTGCAAATAAATGATTAGTGCATGGAATGAAAGTATGATGTTGTTTGGCTTAAATGTGACTGAGGTCCCCATCATTCCATGTTCATTCCCCACCCCCTGGTGCTTTTCTGTGGTTTCCAGGTTTTCTGCACTGATCAACTATTACAAGGACAACACGAGGGCCACATGCTGTATAGTCCCAGCTACAAGGGAGGCTGAGGTGGGAGGATCACTGGACCCCAGGACTTCAAAACCAGCCTGGGTAACAGAGTGAGACACTGTCCCTAAAACAATTTTTTTTTTGTTTGAGACAGAGCTTCTCTCCGTCACCCAGGCTAAAGTGCAGTGGCACAATCACGGCTCACTGCAGCCTCAACCTCCCACACTCAAGCAATCCTTTCAACTCAGCCTCCTAGGTAGCTGGGACGACAGGCATGCACCACCACGGGTCTCACTATGTTGCTGAGGCTGAGGAAAAAAAAAGGCCAGGCACAGTGGCTCACACCTGTAATCCCAGCACTTTGGGAGGCCAAGGAGGGCAGATCGCTTGAGTCCAGGAGTTTGAGATCAGCCTGGGCAACATAGCAAGATCCTGTCTCTAGAAATTAAAAAAAAAGAAAAGACAAAATACTTAGCTGGGCGTGGTGGCGCACATGATGGTCCCAGCTACTCAGGAGGCTGAGGTGGGAAGATCGCTTAAGCTCAGGAAGCAGAGGTGGCAGACAGCCCAGGTCACAGCAAACTGAGATTGTGCCACTGCACTCCAGCCTGGGTGACAGAGTGAGACCCTGTCGCAAAAAAATAAATAAATAAAAATAAAATAACAGAAACACAAGACCCCTCATAGACCCAGAACCTTTAGTACTCATCACAGGAGGGACCTGGGGGTGGGGTCCCAGTGACCTTCTCCTTAGTCAGCAGTCTTTTTGCTGAGGGATCCTGGGGTTTCCAGTCCCATTACCAGCTTGAGTTACACAGTAGAGACAGGGGTCAGGAGTCCTAGGGTCTGCCTCCTGCAGCAGCTGCCCGACCCACCCTCCTCCAGAGAGGGTTGTTATCTGTGGGATTCCATTTCATCAACACAAAGACAGTTTTATTTACCTCGTTATGCAGATTGCAACTCCCACTTTCTGGATGGAATTTGTGCTTTAGTTTTACAGAGTCAAGAGGCCTGACAGAAGAAAAGGAACTCCTCTCTAGTCCTGACCCAGGCTGGGAGCCTCACTCTCAGGGGCAGTGCTGAACTTTCCACCCCTTTACAGCAGGCCGACCACAGCCAGCTCAGCCTTTTTTGATATATTTACAATAACAAAACATACTGTTAAGAAGAAAAACAGCCAGGCATGGTGGCTCACGCCTGTAATCCCAGCACTTTGGGAGACCCAGACAGGCGGATCACCTGAGTTCGGGAGTTTAAGACCAGCCTGACCAGGCCGGGCGCGGTGGCTCAAGCCTGTAATCCCAGCACTTTGGGAGGCCGAGGCGGGTGGATCACAAGGTCAAGAGATCGAGACCATCCTGGTCAGCACGGTGAAACCCCGTCTCTACTAAAAATGCAAAAAATTAGCTGGGCATGGTGGCGCGTGCCTGTAA